CAACCATCGCTGAATTCAAAGTTTTTGTCTTCACTAATGCATGCCGTGAAGAACATCATCCGTTATTGGTCAAAATAACCGACTCACCTTTGGGGGATGGGGTAATTTCCTGGTTGATACTTGATGACAACGCATTTTTACTACCTCATGTTCAAATAGCTTGATAGAATTGGTAATGACATCTGAGAGTTGTAGACAAACTTCTGGGCAGCTTCCATATATCCAGTCTTGATTGAGCTGGTGCTTAAGCATCCTCAAATGAGTGTCACAAAAGTGGGGACAGAAATTCAAGGCACTTATTATTCTGAATCGATGGTCAATCGTCTGCCAGCTAGAAAAAAGCAGTCGCTTAGTGACTCTTGCTGTTCCACAGTTAAAAAGTTACTTCATTAAATCAACTGGATAGGTTTACTAGGCACCATCATTTACGCCACTGCCATTCTATAACTGATCACTAATACCGCGGCAATTATTAAATACTGAAGTAAGTTCACGCAACTTTCACAACAAAGAACAGGAGGCAACCGAGAAAAGGCTCTTCAAAGGCCCATTGGTCGGTGACGTAATCTGCAATGTAATTCGCAGTCAACGTACTTCCTTCGCAATCCTCGTATGAATTTCACTTTTGCCCTTACATTTTGTCCTCAGAATAACATAGCACAGCACCTAGTCACCACGTCTCCTCCCTCACTATGACCATTAAACACCCCACTCTATTACATTACTCAGGCAATTGTCAGGCATCAAAAATGGTTTTGATCGCTTATGGCTTTGGGAAACATTATCAAACAAATAAAGAAAAAGAATGAGGGCAGGACATTCATCAAACGCGTTATGCCAACCCCTCACGAATAAATACCACAGTGATGAAGAAAGGGCCTTGCAAGGACTTTCCAGCATAACACTTTCTTCAGACCGATTGACTAGGCCTTACTGCGTCAAAAAGGCTCTTCCTAGACATCTTCCATTTGTATGGAAATCCACCAAGGAGACAAGTCGCAGTTACCATTCGCCCTCGATCTTCTGTCAGTCGACAATTTATCATTACCATCTGCGGTGACAGTTCATCACCCACTGCATACGCACACAAAGCACAGTCTTTTGGACAGGCTATTCACAGGTTATTCTCCCAATCAGTCAATCAGTCAGCAAACCACTGCAGGCACAATTCATTGTACACATGAAGGAAGCTAAAAGAAAAACAAATTCAGGGTCTGCCAATCCGACTCTCTGACACCTGTTAACCCGTAGCATCTGGCAGGCACTCATGTGCTCACCCTCCACCATTACAGCTCCTTCAAAGGTAATGTGGGAGCGAACCGACTGCTGCATCATCACTCACATAATTCTTTTTCATTCAAAACAGAGAACCTTCCTTAAAGCGATGCCATTCAAGTGACTTAACATCACTACAAACTGTTCGAACCGTTCGTTAACAAGCAATACGTTTTACTACTGCCTGCTGCACCCTTTCCAAATGCCATAAGAAAGCCTGACAAGACTACATTCTATCTCTGCCCTAAAACAGAAGTAAACCTCGTTCTTAAAGTGGACAGACTAGAACCACATCCATTTCAACTAATAATCATGAGAGCTTAATCCGAGCACATTGAAGAATATCACATTCATACAGAGGCATGCGTTTTAAAAGCCTCAACAAGTGACTGTAACGAGTTCCACCAAAACTGCACGAACTGCTTCAATCATCCGATGGATTTTAGGTCCACCTGCAATTCGGTAACATCAAATGTGGAAATAACAGGCGAGGAAACATAGTTGGGTATTAGCAATTCAAACGTAGAGGGATGGTCTGCATGCCGTGGACAAACTTTACTTGGTGAGTTTTACGAACACAGACAATATTACCACCGCGACCGAGGACCAAAACCACTGTAGCCCAAAGAGTATTCAGCCGGGAACTGCAAACTCCAGACAATTAATCCGAGGATTAAAAGTTCCCTGAACCACCCCATTGGGTTGTTTAAACACACACTCCACGTAGACTATAAATGCCGCCCATTCGACGTTTAGGCAGCAGTAACAAAATTTACAGTCCTAGTAAATATGAAACACCAATGTAGAAGAGAGACTTATCCAGGTAGCACAACATTAGCAAAAGGGAATCTGAGGACATCAAAGTAACATTCAATTGTCAAGAAGCTTCAACAACTATCGGTAAACTTGTTAAAAAACGGAAGTAGCAAATACTTAGGTTAAGTAAAAATAACTCGACAAATGCTTGTAGCAGGAAAGAGGAAACTTGCATTCTGGACAATTTACGAGTCTTGAAATTTCATCCATTCCCCCTCGTCACGGCATCAATGGACAGTA